ATGGTACTATAAGCCTCGGTGATTCAGCTGCAGTATACCGGGGGACGCTAGGCACCCAGGAGAGCCTCAGGCACGTATATAGTATTAGTCATAGTATACCCTAGAAACATAGGACATAGTTCCCAGGACAATAGGTCCTAGGAAAGACAGAACACAGTAAGCAAGAAGGCTTCACTAGGATTAGTAATGTCCCAGGGGATTAGCCCCAGGACAAAAGAATAAGCTAGGACACCAAGAGTCACGGGATTAGTGTCCCGTGATGGACAGCTCAGGAACGACAGCGCTCCAGGAGCGCCCGGCTGTCCCAGCTGTCCAAGTAGGACGAAGATCTATATAAGGGAATGGGTTTCATTACAATGTAGAGCTTCGTGCTCAAGATCAATCATTAGTTTCATACTATAGTTACGAGAATTGCAACCAGTTACAACCTTATTGAATTCCTACTTGAAGTCTAGTCTAAACCACCTCGAGAGATCTCTAGACACTTCCACGTGACCCTAGAGGCAGCTCCCGTAACATATATATAAATTTGAAACTTTTATAAAATCCTTAATAACTTTTTATTAAAAATTATTAAAAATAAATTATAAAATTTTATTATAAATTTATAGCATATCTATTTTGAAGGATTCAAAAAAAAAAGAAAATTTCCTATAAATAGATACTTAAAAGAATACCCTCAAAATTACAGGGATTATTTATACTATTCTAAACTCATTGTATACTATATCTCTATATCTATTAATTTTTTTTAATTTTTTTATAATTTCTATATAGATTTAAGTTCAAAACTTTCAAAAAGATATATAGTTTTCTTTTAATGGTTGTTATTAAAAAGTTATTAAAGATTTTATAAAAGTTTCAAATTTGTATGTAATTCTTATATAAATTTAAAAATCGATATTTTAAAGCTTTAGATCTCAATACAGAAAATTCCCAAAATTTTCAAATTTTCAAAATAAGCTTAAAATGGCTTAAATTATTTATATTCAAATTTTTATTAAATTAGATTATATATTGATAGAGATATTAATAGGCTAAAAAAGCGATTTTTGGTATAAAAGAGTGGCCCAAAACAGGGGTGGCCCGAAAGTAGGGTACCCGACTTAATAAGAAGAATGAATTGGAAAAATGAACAAAGAAAATAAATAAGTAGAGTGAATGAGAAGTGGGAGTTGGAATTCGAGGACTGAAAGAGGGAATAGGAGTAGGAATAGAAAAGTAAGAGTAGGAATAGGAGTGGGAGAAGAATTGGAAATAGGAGAAGGAAAGGGGAGAGAACAAATGAGATTTGGGTTTAAAATAATAGAGAAAGGGTGAAAAGAGTAAATGAAGGTGGTAAATAAGAATAATGATTAACAAACTTCAAAGGAATTTAAAAAGGGAATTTAAATTTTTTTTTTTTAAAGATATTCAGATAGTGATTTAAGAAAGGGGGATTGGGGAAAGGATGCATAAGAAAGGGATAAAAAAGGTGGTTTTGATAATTAGATAGGTGGATTGAATATTAAAAGAGTATAAAAATGGAAATGAATGGTAGAGTAGGGAGAGATGGTTAATAGGGTGATTGAATGAGGTTGGGCTTATGAGAAAGAGTGGAGAGGGGATGGAAAGGATGAATAGAGCTGGGAGGATGGATAGAATACCTAAGAGCGAGAAGAGTGAATAAGAATAGAGAGAATAAATGTAAGTGAATACGGAGGTTGGATAAGACAGAGGGTATAGGGAGCAGGAGAAAAAGAAAAAAAGGGGGCTAGGAAAGGAGAGAAAGGGGGTGTTACGAGAATAGATGAATGGATAACGAACAATGAGATTTATGGTGGTTTAGAAAGATTCAGATAGGAAGCTCGAATGGGAATTAGGGTTAGAATTTCAAAGGAGAATTTGAAGATAGATATTAAAGAGAAACTAGAGAGGAAGTATTCGATAGTTTGGTTGGAGATGGATTGAGTGATAAGATGGGTGGGTAGGGTAGATAGAGTAGTTGAAGATGGAAAGGATAAATTAGAAAAATGAATATCAAGAGCGGATAGGAAGGGTAAATGAGGAGTTGGAAGAGGGAAAGAGAGGGAAAAATGATTAAAAAGGTTAATAAGAAATAGGGGTTGGGAGGTAGGAGTAGAAGATGAATTGGGAGAAGGAAAAGGGAGAGATTGAAAGGGTAAGTAGGGTGATTAATGACAATAAGAGTTAGTAAATAAGAAGAGTGAATTCCTGATATTTGGATTAAGGCAGGAGATTGGGTTTATAAAAATGGGGTCTGGAAATCAGGATTGGGAAATAGGGGTTGAAAGGGGGAGTCTAGGGAGGAGAGGGGGAATAAGGATGGAGAAAGTGAATAAGGAGGGGTGAATGAGGATAGTGATATTGAAATCAGAGTTGTAAAGAAGGTTTTTTCATAGAAGTTGAGCTATGTTTCATTAGACTTAGCTCCCCCTGCTACTATCATTTTTTATAAATCATTAATTTCAATATAATATATCTTCTCATAATCACCTTCTTTCAAGAAATTAGAATTAGATCGATTGTTTCAAAATTCATATATAAGATTAAGAGTCTTTTTATAGTAAGATATCATAGATTTGACTATATAACGAGTTAAATAGTATATCTTTAGAGGCTGTAAATGTAAGTACTGATTATATGCTATCTATATGATCATTAAGTGATTAACCATATTCGAGTAAAATTATCCATTCAGTGGTTTGACTTAACCGTCACGCCGCAAATACAACCCTGGCAGGAACAGAAACCCTTTAGAATCATCTCTTAGTATTTTTCTGGGTGTCAAATAAGTTCTCGAACTATTCTTTTCTTCCACTTAGTTGAGATCCTCGTCGTTTGCTTAGAGAATAAAATAGAAGCTCATTTATTGTCATTCCTTCGAATTGATTGCTACGAACGATGATGTTCATCTATTCATAGGGAAGCTAGTGTAAGCTACAAAGATATAGAATCAGTCAAAGTCGACCTTTATGCCTGTCGCGAATTCATACATGGTCAGGTGTCAGATCACACAGGAGATCTTCAGATCTTAGATCTGTTTATGCAGCACGCTAAATAACCTTAAAATTAGAACTGGTTTACAGGGAAGAAATAGATCAAAGGGACTTCCTTCCGTAGAATTAGTCGGCAAGTGGGGTGTCAAAATTCTCTTTCGCATTACCTTTTTAAACAAATACAACTGATTGCCCACTCGTAAAACCAACATGCCTTGTCCTCTCCATCTAACGGGCAATAGTAGAGAAGCGTTGGTACTAGACTATGTGTAGTAGGTGAGAACTTCGAGCTCGGTAAGAATATCTTTCAAACCCCTGTGTACGATCTGCGCTAATAAGGGAAGCCTTCTGAAGGATCATATGGCCATACGAAAATAACCGAGTCGTGTGCGGGGTTGGTGGGGTAGATTTCAGGGGTAATTTTTAATGTGACATGATGACTACTGGTCATTAACTAGATCTAGTTGTCTAGATTGAATTGTGGATATTCAGGTATAAAAAATTGTACCGTAGCAATGCAGTCATATCTTCTTTGCCTATAGATCGACAGAATATTTATTTGAGGCAAATTTAAAGGCATGCCAATTCCTGTTCGATCGTGGGCGTTAAAATTGAGCTTGATGAATATCATCCCCCACCGTGAAATGTTGGGATTAGTGGCTGGAAAACTTCATGTGAGACTACGATCAAAGTAGGCTGTGCGAAGATTATCTGTACTCGTAAACTAATCTACAGATTATTCACCGAATATCCTACATGCTTTATGGATGATTTGTTAGACAACTAATACGTTCCACAAATTTTCTACAGATTATTTTTAGAAAAATTATGGATTATCTCTCAAGGCCATTAGCCACCCCGCGGAGGATACCCGTTGCCAAGCCCAAGAGACAGTGTTTTGATTGCAGATTTTGAAATCATTTCAAAACCAACTTCCATTGAAGTGCGGTTGCTGAGAGTTGGGAATGGTGCTACCAACTCCTTTCAGTCATTTTCGATGTTTATTTCAATTTTTGATATTGTTTTGTTTTTTCATGAGGCAGGGTCCATGCCCTACTATTCTTCAATAAATATTGGCATTTCCATCTCCATAATTAAATCTTTCTTATTCATAGGCAGTGAAACTCGGAGATTAGCTTCTTCCTTACTATCAATCTTATTGAATGGACCTTTATATCAGCTTTAGCCAGACTATCATCGATCAGTATCTCTCTTTCCAATCCATTTTGATTCTTGAAGAATGTTATGAACTAGATTTCAAGTTGAAACTTTCTTCTACAGAAAAGCGTTTGAAAAAAAAGGCTGTGTTGTATGCAAGGAGATTACGAGTAGTCGAAGGACTAGATGAGGTAGGTGTCAAAAATGTCAAGCTGGTCAAACCAGCTGAGATTTCGTATCGTACCCTATTGAGATTTTCTTGCATTTTATCTACCCCTAACTAGCGTCATAATCCTACCATAGAAAAACTTTAATACTCCATGCTAATTCATGATGGTTTTCTGAATCCCATGCACACGATCCTCAATTGCCTATCAAGCACGTTGAAGCTTCGGAGCATAAGCCTCCGTCCTGTAATCTCTCAAGGTTCTCATTCAATCAAGCAGCCAAGCTAGAATAGACGTCATTGATCGATCTTCAGGTGCATATGCTGAGGCGAAATGCAAAGTTAACCGATCTTCTAGAGATTATCTTGCCGAATTCTGAGTATTCAATTACCTCAAATCTATTACACTCGCTTTACAGGGAGAGCTGAATAGTCCAAAAAGTGCTACGTGCATACTTCGGCTCTCCTACCTGGCGATGTTGTACTGTAGATCATTTTCTGGTCCCTGATCTCTTGCTACATGTAATACTTTTTGAGTGTCCTATGTAGTGAGATGAGCTCCTCAGCTATAAAGTATGGCATATAATATGTACAGTATCAACAATTCACTCGCATTTAATCTCTTCATCACCATTACTTTCTAAACCATAAGTGAACATCGATTTCATCACTTCAAGATGGCAACACCTCGAACTCTTGCACAGCAATTTGAGCTTCTCACCAAGCCACCTCCCATTGCCAAAATTCCCGCAACCGTCTCAGTCAGTTTCAACACCGTAGCAATGTGGCTAAATGCCAATTGTGCGGGCAAGAGAACCGACATGTGTCTGGATGATCAACACCTTTCCAGCGGCACATCATCGCAAATGATCAATTAGATAATGCCGGTTGTGCTTTGTAACATATTCCGATTGGCGTAGTGTTCACCCTCATGGATGGCAGAAACAGTAATGAGCAAGTAGGCAACCTCGAAAGTGGTGGTCACTGTATTGATTTAGTCGGTACTGGAAAGACAGAAACATGTCACTTTGCTAACATTGGTATGAATGATACTACATCCAACTTCTTCTGGCGAAGAGTTGATCTCAATATGGGTGCGATAGAGATATTTGCCGATCCCAATTTGGCGGGAATCGCGCAACGATATGGCTTAGTGAATGGGAACCTGGAAGACTTCAATCGCTGAAGAGTTAGGGAATCGACAGTCTTGCTAGCTCTCTACGCTGGCGCACTTTGTCGGATCGTCAGTATGCTTCATTGTATAATACTTGGGACGGGACTGGTGACGCTTATAACAACATCAAGGGCTGGGGTAACATCAAAGAAATCGCAAATTTGAGTGATGTCAAATTAAATGACGTTATAATCCTTCAAATAGGAAATAGCCGTCCCCAAGAAGGAAATTATTGTACCATTCAATATTTCAGCAAGTAATGCCGACAGTCAAACAAACCTCACGGACGAGTCTTCAGGAATCAACAAATCTGACATTGACCAACTATTGGAGGTTACTCTCGATAACTCCACATCCCAAACTATCACTGTTGAATCATCAGATCAACATGTAGTAGGTGTCGATACATCATTCAGTCAGACCATGTCTGCCGGCGTAGAAGGTGTTGCACCTTCTTCAACGCCTTGGGCTGTGCAGCTTAGTTATTCCTATATAAATACCGCCACCAAGTCCAATTCCGTAACTAAGACTATTATCTTGAATGTCAAGCAAAGTGTTAACAGACCTGCTCGAAGCTATTATAGGGCTACGTTATTGGTGTTACTTGGACAACTTCGTGCTGCTGAGTATGAAACGACGGCGGAGCGCTAGTATTCGGATCCGGTTGTTGGTGGGTTACAGGACGCCTCAAATCAAAATTGGTACAAGAGAGTTGAACCTGTGAGAATGAACGTATCGGGAAGTCTGGCATGTAGAACAGTGACGAGTATGGAGTCGTCACCATGGGACCCGCTTTGACCAGCTCCAGCATCGACAACAACAGCACCAATTGCAGCACCGATTGCAGCATGATCTTGTTGATTACATTGATATTTTCTTTGCTGATGATTGCCTGCCGGATCATCTGCCATTTTATCATTTTCAAGTTGGAATTGTGAGGTCCTGTACCTAGTACCTCACCTCAACGTACTTTCTCTTATCATAGCTTTTTGAATGAAACCATTTACTACAAGAATCTATCTCAGGATTAAAGTGTATAAATTCGTACATTGAGCCCTTTGATTTTGTCTCGCTTGTATTGACATCAAAATTTTCAACATTTAAATTACCCATTCAGTTACTCGAGAATGCCTGCTCATGCCAATTTGAACCATCAGTGACGGCAACCACTTTGAATTCGTATTTTTGACATGTGCTAGTAGAATAATTATCAATCTGTACGACGAAGGATTCTTGTCTTTTTCTTTCTCGTTATCCTTGATTCTTCTTTTGAAATGCTACTACGAGACCTAACAACCAGGCACGCTGAAAGTCAAAGCGCCCGGAGGGAACTTGAAATGATCTTTAGTACTATCAAATTCGTAACTCATTCCTCGTAGTTATAGATAAGCCTGAATTCTATATCTTGATAGAGTATCTATGTATTAGTATAGAAAAATACCGGACCCTATAGAGAGCGATGAATCATTCGCTTAAATCACTAGATTTGTGTTGTTATAAAGTAGTGATTAGTAATATAATAAAGCTACTGTGTGTATCCTCCCTATCTTGAAGGCGATTTGAAGCTCGTTCTTCAAAAGCTTAATAGTCTGAATTTCAGTTTGAACTTTATTCTTCATGAAAGCCCTACAATTAAAATTGTAGAATTTTGGACTCCGAAATATAATAGTCTAGGACATTAATGTAGACATTCATAGATAATTAATATACTAATTTGAGACAATGGATTTATGAGATACGAGAGAGTCACTGAGATTTTCGATCTAATCGGTGCGGAAATCTACGACCGAATCTTTCGCTTAGCCGTATTAGAGTCATACAATCAGCCCTATAGCATTTCTATCTCTCAACCTATTATGAGATGGACTACATATAAGCAAACTCACTACTCCCTCCCATCAACAACAACAAATTCGCTTCTTCAAAACTCAAATACTCTAGAAATATCCTCGATATCACGAACCAATATGGCCGAAAGACACGTTGTCGACCCTGATGGAGATTGCATCTTCCATATACAACAGCTTCCCCAAAGTATCAAAGACAAAGGGCATCAAAATTTCCACAGCAAGATTATAGAACCCGAGAAAAACGACACTGAGACACTCGCAGAGATCTCTAAAATCTCTACCGAGATACAAGAAGTCGAATTCCAGGTATCTTCAAAACACATGAGTCTAGCATCTCCGACCTTCAAAGCCATATTCCTACCAACCGATGGACCAAAAGGAGACAGGAAACAAGAAGCGAAAAACACGATTCATATATCACTTCCTGACGACAATCCGAATATATTTTTAATCCTTGTAAAAATTATTCATTATCACAATGCGCGACTTCCAGAATTAGTCAGTCTATCTACTCTTTTACATTTTGCAATCTTGGTAGAAAAATATCAAATGCACAATGCAGTGAAAATAGTCTCGAATTATTGGATTCATTTGCTGATTGACAGGGTGAAGAGTTTGAAAGTACATGAACATGCTGTATTGCATGGATTTTCAAATCAGATCAAGTATTTTTACATATCACTTGGCTACTGGTTCTAGAAAACGATCAACCAATTTTTACAAGACCAAGTGAATATGCACACGAGATACATCTTTTGATCCCGCACAAAATTATCGGTAACGTAAGTCATGGCGTAATGCGTCTAATGGCGTAATGCGTCTAATTGCGGGGAACCACTCTATTAAAATCTCAATTACTCAACAATCAACTATAATACAATCTCCAGTATCACTTTCAGATTCATCTTCAACTTCTTCTCCAATATCCTCTTCAGTTTCAGTTTCATATTCAATTACTTTCCCTTTCCCTTTTCCTTTTTTCATTGTCTGTACCTTAGTAGCTTTTTCGACTTCCACTACTGCATCACATAATTCTTGCGTAGAAATATGAAAATGACCCTTCAAAACTAGTCTCTTTCCTTTCTTACGTATCGTACGTTTCTTAATAATAGCTCGTAAATTATTCGCATCGTGTTGGTGAACAATACTTTGAGCTCGAAGTTGCTCACTCCCAATCGTCAATTTTCGAATGTATTGACGAACCGGGGTTGAAAGAGTCGTATCATTTTCAATTGTTGAATTTAAAAGGTTATTTGCTGTTTGTAAGATTGCTACATCCGGGGGTGAGCTATTGACGAAGACTTGGTTAAAAATATCAAATTGGGTTGGTTCTTTGGATATTTCGACTTCGGGGGTAAACTCTCGACCCAGTGTACGGAACACTCTCTGTGGATTAAATGGATGTAACCCAGCTCCCCGCCATGCCGATTCGATATTTTGATGATGGCATACGTCGGCTCGAGCTTTAATATATGCCTCCATCCATTCAATCTTTTGTATTCGTACAAGTTGAGCTTGATTCAAATCAGAAAGTGCTGCGGTGAGCCGTTTTTTCAATGGACCGAAAACCGCAACATCAAGTGGCTGAAGCAAATGCGAGGTATGAGGAGGAAGTATAAGAAGTACAATTCGATTTTGAAGGCAGTGAGCTATAAAGCTTCCACTAATATGAGAATCGTGGCCATCGCAGATGAGAAGCCGATATTTGCCACCTGCTTTTGCACGAGTTGCAGGTTCGAAAACGCGTTTTAGCCATTCTAATCCATGAAGATTGCTTGTCCAGCCCTTTGTATTTGCTGAAAAGAACCAGCTACCAAGAACTTCCTTCGGAATCCAATTTTGAAGGACATTTTTACCTTTAAAAATCCCGAGTGGTGGAAGAATGGATCCATCCGCACAAATACACTCTACCATTGAAATCCACTCTTGACGGCCTGGATGTGCTTGATGTTTTGTACGAAGTGTAGAATCGATAATAATTCGAGTTGATTCCATTGTCCCAATTGAATGTCCAGATTCATCCATATTATATTCGTCTTTCTTCTCAATTCCATAATCCTGAATCGCTTTTTGATACGTGTCAAACCAAGTACTACATGTTTCCCTGGTTGCACCATCCATTCTTACAGATTCAATTCGACGGCCAATAACAACTGTAAGATGAGGATGTCGTTTGATAAATCGTGGAACCCATTCATGACCAAGAAGGTGTTGTGGTGGGAGTTCAAGGGAGTCAAATGAGGGGCAATCCAAATTATAAGTCCGTTTTGAACGTAACTCCTCAGCCAATTCTTTTAACAACTGATGGCCTGGTGAATAGCCGCTAATTGTCAATTGCTTTATCCACTTAAGAAGTACATTCTCTTGTACAGCAGAAAGTTTCTGTTGCGATTGACGTGCTTCAGAACGCGACGAACCCCCTTTGACGCGTCGCGTCACAGTATCTTTAGAAAGCCCCAGTTCTTTTGCAGCTTCATATGAAGACTTATACTTTCCATTTTGAACTCCTAATACTGCTTCAGAAAGTCGAGATTCCATTTCCTGCACTTTTAAACTTTTTCGACGGACCATTGTTGAATTGTTGCTTTTTTGATGGGGTGGTCCCCCACAATTAGACGCATTACGCCATTAGACGCATTACGCCATGACTTACGTTATGTTTGAGTTGTCTCTTCATTCGATATAATCATACTTTTCCTAACACCACGCATAGAGAAACTCGACGAAGAAAGAGACCATCTCATAACATCCTGCTTCACTCTAACCCCCTCACTCATCTCCCAATACCAAACATCCTCACGCTGCAAAGCCGGGTTCAAGAACCGCCATGAACGAGAAAAAGCCGTCGCGCTTACGAAATCCTATCGTTATGAATGTGATGCCATGATGTTCGGATCGATTTTCAAAAGCGCGACAGAGAAGGGATTATATCCTGCTGCACTACCTCTTTTCGAAGGACTTTCTTTCGAGAGAATTGAATCGATCAAACCTGTTTCCATTTGCAATTGGATGGGAGATCATAATCGGGAGGGAACTAAATTCGTTCCTGGTCGTTGTAATTCTAATTGCGTGTTTCCGGAGTTGATTAAAGCAGCTGGGAAGATTGAGTCTTCTTGGTTGGGACTCGAGATTGCGGATTATAAGGGTGCAGAAGACGAGCAGAAGAAAGAGCTATGAATCTCTGGTTCTTAAAGCAGTGTTAGTAGGAAGAATGTCGGTGTATTGTGATTGTGATGAGCCCATAGCGCAGATATGGGGAGCTCTTGTATATATTCTAATAATTAATAAACTTGTGCTTGATATCGGGAGGAGTCTATACGTCCACATAAACTAGCAAATGAAAGTTCCAAATTCCAAAATAATTGCATGATAAATGTGCATGCAATGCCAATCAACCTTGAAAAATACCTCCCTCTTCAATCACTCTAAAAGCATCCATAGTATGTTTCCATATCACCTTAGAAACTCCATCTTCCTTGTACTTATTATACATCTTCGGTGTTGGATATCTTTCTCCCACAGATCCAACATTATACATACCCCCACCCGGCGAACCATCTACCGCCTTTTCCAACTCAACATCTTGCAAACAATCTCCCCTCTTCCCCGCCTCCATTTCCATCTCTTCCCCATCTTTTGTCAAAGCCCTCGATCTCCACCTCTCGCTCATCAGCCACAAAATCCTCTCTCCACACACCTCCCCCTTCGTCTCCCAAAATCTTATCATCGGTCCGACTCCGAACTTCCACATCCACTTCAACCACCTGGGTACCGTCCCCTTCTCCAACATATCAGTCATCACCACCCCCGGATAAACATGCATCAGACTAATTTTCCCCCTATTCGCCTCGGCGATTTTCTCCATAAAGAACGTCGTCATCCAACATACATGCGAAGAAGCATAGCGGAGAATACTATGATTTCGAAGAGAAAGATCTTCGGGGATGAGTTTACCATGGAGTTTGGAGTTGAGGATTGAAATAACGCGGTTGGGCAGGGGCGAGCGAATAAGGAGTGGGAGGAGTTGTATGATGAAGCGCATGCGAGAGTAGTACATGAGGGAGTAAGTGGAGTCGAGACCTTCATTTGTTGCTGGTGGGTTGTGAGATTGTGATTTATTATACTACGGGATGAGGATGGGAAAGGAAGTAGGGATAAGAGCAAATGCTAGAGGTAAAATAGAAACCTACCATTCTGAGAAAATGTAAGAACTCCCTGCGTCATGACCAACAAATCAATCTGACCTTTCTCCCCTTTTTCCTTTTCTCGCCCATCTAATTTCCCTCTAATCTCCTCACAAACACGATCCACATCCCTTAACAAACTCAAATCTCTCGCTTGCACGAAGCGAAAATCTCCATGAGGACAAAGCTCCCTACATTCGGCGATTATCCTCGTCGCTGCATCTTTATTTCTTCCAACGATAAAGATGAGAAGCGGTTGAGTACTGTTTTTGGCGTGGGCAGAAGCGAGGGCGAGGACAGTGTGGGTACCGATTCCGGAGGTACCGCCGACAAAGACTGCGATGAGGGGGGCGGGGTGGGTGCGTAGAAAATGGGAGGTTTGGGTTTGGATTTCGGGGAGGGGGACCATAGTTTGGGATTCAACGCTGTAGAATGAGAATAGAGGGAAGATAGTGATACAGACTTAAGAGATGAGAAATTGATAGGAATGGCTTGATAGAATAAAGTCAATGGGGTGAAGCTATGTATAAATACTCATTTGGACATTCATTCGGTATATACATCTCCCCGATTCCGATGAAGAAGTGGATTTACTCCCATCTTTGATGATTAACCTGGACGACATCATTTATCGCCAACAGAGTTTCAATTCCATTGCAGGTCGAAGGGACAGACAGAGAAAGATGAGAAAAATGTAGATGTCAAAACCCATGTATGGATAACCGATATCCCTACATCTTGCACAACCCTATATCTTGTATACTTTTATTTCTTTTCAAAGTAATATATTAAATTCAATTAATAATTAATTAATCATTATATTTTATTAAAACTTTTTATTAAGATATAACCATATTATTTTTTATTCAAAACAAAAATTGAAATATTAAGAATATCTAAAAAGTGTAATAATATTTCAATATTAAAATATTAATTTTAAAATATTAATATAAAAATATTATATATTAACTTATTCGATAATATAAATAAATAAAATTATTCTTTTTTTAAATAATTTGAAATTTTGATTTATTTTTATATAAAAAATTAAAAAAGTAAGCCTTTATATTAAAAATTCAAAAAGATCTTGAATTATTATAATAAGATTTATAAATTATCTTTTTTTTAAATTAAAAGTAATTATAAATTAAGTATTTCATAGTATTTGAATGAAAAGTTAGTTTTATAATAATATTTATATATTAATTTAAATTGAAAAAATATAGAAAGATATTTTTTATTAATTATATACATTTATAATTATTTATAAAAAAAAACACTTATAATTATATATTATAATAATATTATTATTATAAGATATTCTTAAACAATTTGTTCTTTAATACAATTTTTGAAATATATAATTATTTTTTATATAAATATCAAATATAAAATATTATAGGATTGAATTAAAAATGAATTTCGAATTTGAAATTCTTAGAAATATTGAAGAAATTAAAGATCTTTTTTTAGATGAAATTCTTTTAAAAATAAGTTTATCATATATTTCTTTTGAAAAAAGAATGTATATAATCTTGAAATTTGAAAAGATAAATAGTATCTTCAGAATTATTGTTTTCTTATTTATTAATTTATAATAGATTTAATATTGAATCTTTAAAATGATTTTATTTTAGTATTATATTCTTTTATAATAGTTAAAGATTAAACTTAATAAGTTTAATTTGATGTATAATTTTTCTTTTTATAGAAAAAAGATTAAATAAATTTTAAAAATAAATTTTAAATTTTTTTATTAAATTAAATATATTTTTAAAATCTTATTTAAAACTTGATTCTTAATGTTTTTTGAATATTTAAACATTTTTTAAAAAATATTAATATAAAAGAATTTGAAAAATTAACTTTTAGTTTTATAAATAAATTTTAATATAGTTTTTTATTATATTTTTAATATTTTATAATAACGTTATTTTAAATTGATTATTATTTTGTTTTATATTTTAAATCTCTTAGAAATTTGATTTTGTTTTACAATATTTTTGAAACTTTATATATTAGTTTTGAAGTTATTATAACAATTTTTGAATTTAAAATTGATTTTTAATTCAATAAATAAAAGTGTGTAAGATATAGGGTTGTGCAAGATGCAGGGATATCGGTTATGTTGATTTTCTTTGCGGTGATTGGTTCGGATTTGGAGGTGGAACCGAACGAAACCCGCATTCGCATTCGGGAATGTTTAATGAGTAGGTTACTAAGTACGTATTCATTATCAGAATCCTGATATCGATTTGCGCATCGAGATCATCTAGGACTAGAGTATTGAAGCTAGCTATAGCTAGGGAACTTTCGAATGTATGAAAACAGTTCGACCTCCATGTACTTCAACTGAAAAGGACATAATAGATTTTTCAGCAAAGTGTGACTTTCACGTGACTTGCGTGATTGATAAATTGTGGATAGCTCTGAGGAGCTCAAAATCTAACCTTTGTAAGATTTCGAGTTACTTGAAATGGTTATGCTGATCCTCCTTTCAACCCTGGCACTTCTGCCATTCTAGATCTTCTCTTCTAATTCTTGTCCACCAAGTCCTGTATCTCCAAAGTGGTGTTTATTTTCCATTTCGCCTTTTATCCAAAAAGCATACTCGGAATCCAGAGAAAGTTATATAAACGAGATCCCCTTTCACCTCCTATGCATCCAGTACTCTCAGAACTAAGCTTTCTTGACTATACAGTCGCAAGTTTCTTTCAAATAAAATATTCAGTTTCCAATTGCAATAGCCGTTATCAAAGTCTCCAGAGATCTTTGGAGATGGCTTATCTCGAACCACCACGGAGGAAATTCTCGCGATGGGAAGAAATGATGATAGAGAAAGTTGACGTGATAATGAATAATCACAATAGTTCCTGCGTGTCCAATGTCAAATATATATACCGGGTATCAAATCTACTCGCAAGATCGTGAAGCGAAAGAGTATGAAAAGATGAGGTTTGGCTGTAGGAGTATCATCACGTGACTTGTCATAAACTGATATGCCACAAACGAGATGAGCTGGGGATTTTGGATTCCTTCCTGAATGTATTGAACTGAATGACTTGTGGTATATACAAACATATACTCGATTACAGTTTCTGAGATTACAACCACGATAATCATATCCAAATCGATTCATTAGACTCCGTATTCCTTTCCCCTTAATCATATCTTCACACCCCTTCATCAATGGAAATTTCCACATCCAGCATAGGCGAGGAGGCTCTTACGCTCCCTCTCCTCTTACATTAAAAGAACAAAATCGAATCGGTATATTATTAGAACTTTCTACATGCAGTATGCAGGACATACTATGTATAGCCTCAAGATTTCCGCAGCTGCATCTACAATGAATCGACTGGAAATGAAACATCCGCTGAGTAGATTTTCTAAACCCCAAAAGATAGAAATGAATCAAAAGTTCAATCCCGAAGCGCCATACGCTTGCTTACCCCGCGAGAAAGATAATAGAAATCAAGACGGTGAAGAGTAAGTTACTAGGTAGTTGATGAATTCGAACCCTACCCTAGGAAACACAAAAGAGCTAATGCAGCCTGACGTCTGACCCTTAAAGTTAATTGTCCACTTAACTACGTACTAGCCTACTAGGTAGGTATCGTAGATCTTGTAAGTTGTAATTGGAGAAGCGAGAGAGAGAGAGAGAGAGAAAGAGAAAAAAGGCCCTGAAAAGTTAAAACCTCCTCTTTCTGAGACCTTCGAAGTAGAATAGAGAAAATCAAGAAATAACCTTAATCATCATCTTTTCCAAAAGCTAGGTATCCATCTATCCGTGTTACTATCTCGTGGGACTGAATCTAATTCGTTTGTACAGTAGTTGGGATTGTATCTGATTTTGTACTTGTAAAACTATCTATTCTCCATTTTCGATTGACGATTGACGATGTGATGAGTACTAGGTAGGTCATACATATCGCGATAAACGAGGATGGAGATATATCGATGGAGATGGGGATACGGTATGATGAAGATGAATAGACGCATCTGGATTTGTGGTCAAAGTTTGACCTGATTTTTGAATTGTTAAACTACGGTACCTCCTCTGGTACACAATCTGTAATTCTTCTCTTCATCATTTACGAGGTTTCTGTGAGGATTGTTGTTGGTTTGGGGGTAGCTACGAGGTAGAGTTCTCTAGATGATCGCATTGATGGCTATTTTACCTAGGTCCCGGTAAGGTTAGGTAGATAATTCAAGTATATCACCAATTCAATCCTCTCTAAGGAAGTTCCAAAAAACATCGATGCCGCGATAAACTTTCCAGCAACATTCATCACAGCCAATATGGTGGAGGTGGAGGCTGGGGTTCCTAGGTATCTTTCTAGATTTTCTAATCCCGGGGTCGATGTAGTGGGGGTTGATTATTGGTGGATATCTCTTGTCAGAATGTCGAGAAGCTGGGTTGTATGTAGTATCGAATCGTAGCTTGGTGATAGGTGTGAATGTCTGTGTGTATTCATGGGAATCGTGGTAAGATTCTCATGCAACCTGGACTTGGCTGATGTGATAAAGTGACTAGGTATGCTGTATGACATCTGATGAAGTTAATACTTGATTGGAGATGAGATGGATGAGAGGTTATAAATATATGCTTTTCCCTTCTTGATTCTGGTGCTTTGTTTTACTGTACTATATAAATTTATATACAATTCTTCATACTCTGAATAAATTACCAGGCAAAGAAAGAAATTTACTCACTGGATACCGCCTGGAAAAAACAATACACACAACGGTCACAACAATTATCACCTGTTATACACATATATATCCACTCTCCTTCAAACAAACAAACGCACATACCTACATGCCTACATACCTACATACATACATACATACATCCACTCTTCTACAAAACCCCCCTCAAAATGTGCTGGCCCAGTCGAACAAAATACTACCGCGAACCTGTTGTCCGTGAAGTCGTCTATGCCCCTCGACCCGTTTCTCGAGGTCATCATCATCACCACCACCCTCAACGCGTCTCGGTTACTTCCGTCCGTTCTTCGAGACCGGTGAGTCGGACCTATGTTACGACGGCGAGTCCAAGAGCGAGTCGAACGAGTTATACTAGTTCGACTCATAGAAGAAGGTATTGAGGGGGTGTAGGATTTAGGTTGAGAGGGAATGTCTTTTGTGATTGATCGCGGGATGAATGAATGATGATGATGATGCATGGTCATGATGGGTATGGTATGGTATGGTATGGTATAGTATGGTATAGTATGGTATGGGTATGGGTGTGTGATTTAAGGCGTATGGGGTTGCTTTGAATTGGATGGCTTGAGATAGGCACTATGAGAGATGAAAGATAGATGATTTCCGATGTGGATATGATTGTTTATGTGTGTGGAGCGAGCACGGTTGGCTAGCTGGCTATATGAGAGGAAATCTTGA